TGTCCGTGATCACAGGGGACCTCACTGGAGGCAACATCCTGTCCAGACGCAGGGCAGCGGCTCCCAGCCTGCCAGGGCCCCCGTGCGGCCTGTGCACCAAGGGTGGGTGTCCTGCTCCCCCCTTGGCCCCTTCCGCCCCCAGCACAGCCCCCAGGCAGGTGCCTCCCAGTGCCAAGGCAGCAGGGGCCCACCTGGACCCAAGCATCCCAGGAGGGAGGCTGAAGTCTGGGTCACAGGAGGGGCCCAAAGGACAGACGTCCACGGCCCGGGCAGGGGGTTTGTCCCGCCGCCACAGCCCTGGGCTGTTCCACTCACAGCACCCTGCGTGCTCCCACCGGGATCCCCCATTGCCCCTCAGCTTAAAGGGAGACCTGCCCCCCGCCAGCCCTCTCGGGTCAGATTCCGGAATCCTGCCATGCGCGGCAGCGGCTCCCTCCACCAGCCCTGGCTCTGCGCTCTGAGGCTGAGGACGGGCAGGCGCTCAGGGCGGCTCAGAGCGTGGGGGGCAGCAGAGCCTCCTCCTGTGCCAGTGGGGGGAGGGTGCTCTGGGCAGTAACGGGGTCTCCCCTTCCGCGGGGCCACCTGTGTCACTGTGCTGCAGTGCCTGGCAGGAGGGACAGGCCCCAAATGTCCTAGTTTGGGAAAGGCATTTTGGGGCCAGCCTGGCTGAGGGTCTCTGGAAAGATGTGGGAGCTTCCAGGAGTTGAGCTGGGGAGGGGTCCTGTCTGGCCAACGTCTCTAAAGTCCCGGGGGTGCGGCTGGCCACGTCTGCAGAGTGTCCACGCCTCCGTAATTGACGTGCTCTCAGAGGGAGACTCCCAGCCTCACCCATAGGGCGGAGCCCACCCGACACCAGGAGAAGCCCCGGGCGCAGGAGTCCCACCATGAGCCGCACAGACGCCCCGTGTGGGGGCTTGGGGACATGCCTGTCCCTCCCGTCGTGGTGGAGGCGGAAGCCGAGGCTGAAAGTGCGCGTGCGCAGCGCTGGCCGGCGCCCCTGGCCCGGTCAGGACGTGGGTGTTTCCCGCACCCCAGGAAGGTCTTCCAGGCAGGCACAGTGCCGTTCCATCATCGGAAAACTTTGAGAAATTGCCCGAACTTCGAGGCCCCAGGTGGCCTGTCTGAGGGTGCCCAGGTCTCCGGGGTCAGTGGAGAGGCCACGTCATGGCCACGTGGAATCTACTGCTGTAGGGAAAGAGATTGGACGGGGAATGTGTCGGTGCAGCTCCTCGCCTCGGCAGTGGAGAGAGGACGCTGCCGTGTCCGGGTTCTGGCGTCTGACCCGAGAGGGCTGGCGGGGGGCAGGTCTCTCTCTAAGCTGAGGGGCAGCGGGGGATCCCGGTGGGAGTCTGCAGGGTGCTATGTGTGGAACAGCCCAGGGCGGTGGCGGCGGGACAAACCCCCTGCCCGGGCCGTGGACGTCCGTCCTTTGGGCCCCTCCTGTGACCCAGGCTTCATAATCATTTCTGAGAAGCCAAAGTCATTTTAACAAAGTTCAGCCACCACCGTGATGAGGAAGTGCGGCCGCCCACGATTCTGCTCTCAGCTGGGTAAGGTGCAACCGAAGGCCGGCGGTGAGCCCGGACGCGGCGGGTCCCAGCAGCCCCTGCCAGGACAAGAGCGAAACAGGAGCTTGGCCATCGCGACTCCATGCTCTGTACGGGAGGTGCTGCCAGAGAGAGGAGAGAAAAGCAAGCAAGAGTCGCGATCGTCCTCACGCGGCGCATGCAGGCGGCACCTCCCCGCGGGGCAGGTTCGGTCCCTAAGGAGGCTGGCGAGGCGGCCACACGGCCAGTGGCTTCCTCGTGCGGGAGACGGTGCTCGGAGAGCAGCCGCGGGATCTCCTCTCAGTGATTGCAGAAATCGTGCCAGACCCGTACACAGACGCCGCCAATCTTTCCTAAAGAACCTAAAAGGAGGTTTGTGGGAAGCCGGGTGCTCTGCGTGCTGGACGGAGGGCCCCGACATGATGAAACATGACAGAAATATCTCTACAAACACATCGTGTATCTGACACGGCCATGGCCACGTTCCCGCAGGGCAGCGACAAGCGTTCTCACGCCCACCGAGCAACGGGACAGACAGTAGATGGTGACAGGTCGGGAAGAACTTTCCAGGCACGAGGACGTGGGCACTGCGGCTGCCACGGAGCAAGCAGGGCAGGGGCAGGGGCAGGGGCAGGGGGAGGGGAAGGGCAGGGGTAGTGGAAGGGCAGGGAGAGGGGAAGGGCAGGGGGAGGGGAAGGGCAGGGTGAACGGAAGGGCAGAGGGAGCGGAAGGGCAGAGGGAATGGAAGGGCAGAGGGAATGGAAGGGCAGAGGGAACGGAAGGGCAGAGGGAGGAGAAGGGCAGAGGGAGCGGAAGGGCAGGGGGAGGGGAAGGGCAGAGGGAACGGAAGTGCAGAGGTGCAGGGGCGCAGAGATGCGGAGGTGGCGCATGGCCAGGCCTGTGGGGGAGGAGTCGGCCCTGAGCCTGGAGAAGCATGCGCGCAGCAGAGGCAGGGTGGCTCTGTTCACCCCACCGGCCTGCAGAGGGCAGTGGGCCTGAGTGACCGCCCCCCTGCCGACGGCCCTGGGTGTGGGCCCGGCCTGCCTGGGACTGTGCTCCTTGGAGCGGCCTCCGAACAGACGCGCCCTCCACGCCGTGCAGATGGGCCGCCCAGCAGCTGGACAGGGACCTCTCAACATCCAGGCAGCCAGAGACTGGGGCTCATCCTCCCGGCCCAGATGGCCCCACCTGCGGCACCAGCTAGACGCAGGTGTGGCACCAGCTACACCTGGCATCTGGCTCCCTGCGTCCTGCAGTTTCCTTTCTGCTGGAACAGAGTAGAGCTCAGACGGGCGTCTCTGAGTGCGATAATTCCCTTCTCTCCAGACGCAGGCGGAAGATCTAGCAGGTGGGTTTTCGAGGGCAGTGGCCATCCTCGTCACCCGAGGTACAACCGGTGGCTCCTTCTGCCCCTTCCCTTGCTGGGCCCCCTAACACAGGTCTGCTCGGTGCAGGGGTTCCCCGAGATGTTCGCCGCTAGCGGACCCTTTCGGCACACTCCCTGCCCACCATCCGTCACTGCCCCCGCTCGGTCTCTGTGTTGGGAACAGTTAGTCTCCCGGAGGGTCGAGCGCGGTGGTGTTTGCAACTAGCTGATCACAACCAGCTACCGCTTCCTGTGTTCCTTGTCCACTCCCACCGCCTCACCTGACCAGCCTTTAACAAAAAAAAAGAAAGGTCTTCCATTGACTTATTCAAAATCTGCCTTCACCCCCAGACCGTAAGCTGCATGAAGCGGGGGTGGGCGGGGCCCCGGGGTCCAGGGCTCGGCTGGGTCCGTCACAAGACAGTCTCAATAGACGCGAAAGCCCTGAGCGAAGGAAGGAAGGAAGGAATGATGGGAGTAGACACAGCCACCGGGGAAGGTGTGGGAGGACCCCAGGCCCACAGTGGCTGGCAGGGCCGTCCCTGGCTGGCCCTGCGCCCAGGGCCAGCTTCCCTCGGGCCCTGGAGGTGCCGCCCAAGGCCCCGCCAGGTGAGGCGGCAGGTGAGGGGTGTTTGCTGCCATCAGTTTCTGCCTGTGTCTCCCACGCACCTGCCCCCAGGGCTCCCGCAGGGACTTTGCAGAACCTGCAGGCAGAACCTGCATCATTGTGATGCTCGCATTGTCCACGGAGTCTGGTGATGTCACCACCAACAGAAGACCCGAGCACCAGGGTCTTTGATCAAGACCCAAAGACATGATGCTTGGGAAGCACCTGTCCTCCTGGGCCGGCGCTGGCCGTCCCTCCTCATCCCCCTAACCCAAGGTACGGGGACCCTTGCCGAGGGATGGAGCACAGCTCGGGGGAGCGGTAAATCGGGGTAGGCCAGGGAGGAGGGCATGCCGCCGACAGGGTCTGGCCAATGGGCCTGTCTTCACCCCTCGTGTGGCATTTCGGATGATCTTGAATTCAAAAGGTGGTCAGTTTCAATCGCAGGAGCACAAAGACTGTGCCCAGCTGAAGCCCGCCCAGGATGGCCTCACACAGACAGCTGCCCGGTAGGAATGTGACGTGGGCCACATGTGGGATGTCCGCCTTCCCAGTGGCCACGTTATAAAAGGTAAAAAGAAACCAGTGAACAAATGCTCATAGTTTAGTTTTATTTTGCACAGTTTATGCAGACGACACTCCCCAGATTGTTAGCATTTCAACGTAAGATTATGAGCGAGCTATTTAAATTCTTTTGTGTCTCGCTGTTTGTCCGCAGGACCCCGTGTGTTTTGCACACGTGTGGCCCCTCAGTCCCAGGCTCGGGGGCCACGTGCGGCTGGTGGCTGCCGCGCCGGCCAGCGCAGAGCTAAGGCCTCGTGCTTGCGAAATGAGCATTCGGACGTGAGCTACCAGAGAGCCCGTTTTCCTCAGCACGGGACTCAGGCGGCCGCCCCCCGGCTCGTGCACAGACATCCACGTGGAACTCCCGCGCCAGCTCAGGGTCCTGGCTGGAGCCAGAAAGTCCATTTGAGAGCTTAAGGCCTTTCAGTGAGACTTCTCCCCCTGCTCGCAAGGCCCTGCCTTTGAGAGCACTCGCGCTCTTTGAGACTAGCGCGATCTTGGAACCAATTATCCATTTACTATCTCTGTGAGGAAAAAAGAATGAAAGTCAACTTGTGGGTCAAAATACCTTCTCTCCCAGTCCAGGAAGAGTCCTCACCAAGACCTCGCTCTATGTTCACAGCCCGCCGCGGAGACGGTGCATCTCTTACCCCGTCGAGGCCGACTTCGGGGGCGCAGGGGACAGTCGAGGGCACGTGCCCAGCCTCGAGGAGCAGCCAGCACCGTGGAGGCTCCGCAAGTACTTCAGGTAGAGCAGAGGCTTCCCTCGCACACATCCCGAAGGCCGAACATTCTGGAAGCACACCCTTAGGTTGGTGTCCGAAAGTCTGTTCATTAATCTATTATTAGAAGGTCACAAAGATGTAGTTTTTTACTGCTTAAAATCTACTTTTTTCTCCCTTTTCCCCAGGAGAGAATGAATTCTAAAAGAAGAATGCTGTTATTGATCTCATCTGTTGTATCACTGATCTTGGTGGACCGTTATTTCAGGTAAATATGAAATATTGATGAATCACGACCTTTAGCAATTGGCAGAGATGATGTAAACTGCTGAGTTTTGTGCAAAAATATTAGTAACAGTCTCTAAATCAATCAGGAGTTACCTGCTCTTTGTGGGACAAAGTATACATATTTTAATTCTTTTGGTTTTAAACATTCGACAATGATTAATGTTCTCGGGGCCAGTCTCTGGCCTCGGTGGGGGATGTGGAGTGGCCACGGCCCCTGCCCTCGGGAGCTCCGCGTGCCAGTGGGGCGGACCGAGAACAGAGACGAACGTGAGATGCAATGTCGGCGGCATCGCACTTTATAGCATAAACGTCACGGAACATTAAGCAAGGGGAGAGTGCTATTTTAGATAAATTATAAACTTTATCGAGGTCCCATCTTCGCGTCTAATGTAAACAAGACTGAAATCAGCCTGCCAGATGCACACACGTGTACCGGAGGGCAGATCTGCCAACCTGCTAAACGCTGTCTAGGAAAATTCAAATTCCTGCCCCACCTCACACGCTCCTGCGGAGCAAGGCGGTGTTTCCAGGCGCCGTTTGACAAGTAGTTGCATCGTGAGGGGTAAGGTCTTTAACAATTAAGCCTTTGCACAGCACGTATCTGATAGAGGACTCACACCGAAAATACGCAAACAGCTCTTAAAACCCAACAATAAGGAAACAAACGACTCAGTTACAAAAATGGGTGAAAGAACTGGACAGATACGTCACCGGAGGAGACACAGTGAAAAACAAGATACGAAAAGATGTTCCGCATCATTCGTCGTTAGAGAATTGCGAATTAAAACAACTGGGTAACGCTACATCCTCCTTAGAATGGCCAACGTCTGAAAATCTGAAGTCTGAAAACCCATTGCTGGTGGGGACGCAGCCGGCACAGCCGCGGCGGGAAACGGCGCGGTGGGTGTGTCCCCTGGGCCGACTCCTCCCCACGACCTTCCACACGACCAGCCCTGTGCTCCGGTGTGTGTCCAACCCACTGGAAAACTTCCGTCCACACAAAACCGTGGACAAGGTGTTTACCGCGGCTTTGTGCGTAAGTGCCGCAGTCTGGAAGCTAACGAGCCGCCCTTCGGCGGGGACTGGGAGCAAACTGCGCACGTCCACGCACGGGATACTACTCGGCCGTGAAAAGAAACGCGCCGTCCAGCCCTTGCAGGACACGGAGGAGCCCCAAACGCGTCCTGCTGAGTGAGAGAGGCCAGTCTGGAAGTCCCCGCGCTGCACGAATCTGCTCTACAAATAAAGCTGCTTAAAACAGAAAAAGGGGAAGTAAATAAAAATAAATAATACAAAAGGAAAAACAAACCCCACTGCTTTGGTCCCTGTGTATGTGTCACATCTGCTCCTGGGGACGGCAGCTGACGGAACGGCGTCGCCGCCCAACGAGCATTTGTTTGGTGGTATTATGGGCTGTCTTCGGCAGGGTACAGTGAACCGCACACGAATCCGCAGCGCGGATTCACCGTCTGCCCCAGAACGGTGGCGTCGAGCCTGGCACATAGTCGGTCCTCAGTAATTATTTGGTTAAAAAGTGAGTAAATAAATGGATCTTAATTCCGGAAGCTTTGTTATTCAAATTGCAAAAGGCCTTTATTCAAATTCAAAATTTAAATGAATTTTTTCATTTATTTAAAGAATAAGGAATCATTTACTGGTAGGGTTGATAAGTTTAGGAAACAAATATACCGGGTGTCCAGTTACATTTGAGTTTCAGATAAACAATGAATCGTTTTTAGCAGAAGTATGTCCCGTGCAAGATTCGAGACACCGGCTGAAAAATGGTTCACTGCCTGTCTTCAATCCAGACTTAACGGGCGCCCCGAGCACTGCCTGGCGAACCTCTCTACAGAAAGGGCAGCTCTGCTGTCAAGAGTCTCTGCTGGATAAATGTTCTGCAAACCGGAGAGCAAAGCTGGGGCACAGGAAAGCAGAGTGGGGTCCCCTGTCTGCGTGTATGCGGGTCGGTGTGCACGTGGTGTGCGGCTGGGAGGATTTGGGAGTGGGCTGCGGAGGCGCCTCCTTGTTCATGCCACGTTTGTAGTGAAGTTTGGCCCGGGTGTTTGGATTTGGACGGAGTCCAGCCCCGGGGAATCCAATAAGGAAGTATCTGTGGCTAAGGACACTTCTGAGAATGTCAGAAAGGGACTCAGTCTTAAAGTCATTTCTCCTACTTGCAAAATATCCCAGAGTTATGCGAGAGAAGCGCCTCAGGCTTGCTAACTGAGTGACGGAGCGTTTCCGTGCAACGGGAATCGGAGATGAACATCGGGACTCCTCCCAGCCTCTGGGACATGTAATCCATCCACTCACGTTTGATAAATAAATTAATTAAATCTACATTTTCATCTCTATATATGTTCTCTTATCTGATCTATTAATTTTTTTAAAAAAAATCTTCCTACTGGCCGGGCGTGGTGGCTCACACCTGTTGTAATCCTAACACTCTGGGAGGCCGAGGCGGGCGGATCGTTTGAGCTCAGGAGTTCGAAACCAGCCTGAGCAAGAGCGAGACCCCATCTCTACTAAAA